CGTTTCGACCTCACATTTGGGGCAGAGAAAGTGGTAAAGGGCCTGTATGTGATCAGTGTTCAACTGGTAATAAGGATATGCTTGAATCACTTTATCAAGATAACGAATTAATTGAATTCGGAAAACTATCTGATGATAACATTATCTGTACAAATTGTCAAGCAACAACCACACCACTTTGGAGAAGAGATGGAGCAGGAAAGACGATTTGTAATGCTTGTGGACTTTACTATAAACTTCATCATGTTCACCGACCTGCTACAATGATGCGTACTGTGATTAAAAGACGAAAGAGATGTCCTTCTTCTAATACTACTACAAATGATAAAAAACGTGTCACCAAATCTCCTTCTCCACCTACTACAACCAATAATCGATGGTCTTCTACCTCACCTCTCCGACGAAAATTGAGTTTTGATGATAGTAATTGTAGTACAAGTAGTAGTAGTAGTAGTAGTAGTACAAGTAGCAGTAGCGAGATGGAAATTCATCAACATCATCACCAGCATCAACAACAACAACAACAACAACAACAACAACAACAAGGTCATCATCGTTTTACTTTACCTCCCATTCAATCTTATTATTCAACTTGTCATCATCATCATCATGAAACTCAAGATGCTCTTCGTACTCAACGCTTAGAACTTCAAAATGAAGTAACAAGGCTATCTAAACTTTTATCAAGTACTGTTGCAAAATTATCTGAAATTGATTCTACTATGGCTAGTCCATGTGTCTGCAATAAAAATGAAGAAAATGAAGTAGTTGCAAGATCTCTTTTATCCTTGTCTTTAGCAAAAGACAATGGTATTCGTCTTCCTCCTATCTCTGTAAAGTAAAAACAATCACTATCATTTCCCTTCCCTCCTTTTTTTTTTTTTTTGTAAAAACATTTTTCTTTTTCTCTATTGTAATTATTTTTCATTTTTTTAAAACTTATTATACTCACACACACACACCTCACTCAATCACTTTTTACTGCACTTTTATATATTTAATAAACAAATTAAGCTCTTTTTATAATTATTTATTTACTTTAAAAAAAAAAGAGGGGGGTTTCTAGTTTGTGTATATCGTTTTTTTTTTTTTTTTTTTTTTTTTTTTTTTTTTTTTTTTTTATTGCTTCTTTTCATAAGCAGCTTCGTGAGCCTTTTGAGCACGACCGGAGGGATCAGCAGGACAACCCCAATCACCACGAGGAACCCAACGGACGACGGAAGCAGTACAAGCAGGTTGAGGGAACCATTGATCAAACATGACACGATACATGTAAGCTTCCTTAGTCTCAGGTACATCCTTAGTCCATCTTGAGCTAGCCTGAGCCAATTCATCACTAGAGACCTTGTTTTCACTTACTGCCTTGAGACTATCAATCCAACTATATCCAACACCATCAGAGAATTGTTCCTTTTGTCTCCACAAGATGTTTTCAGGTAAATAAGGTTTAGCAGTAGGATCATCGGAGGTATCAAAGGCCTTACGAATAATGTATTTCTCCATACGACCTAATGACTTGTTTGGTCTCTTTTCCTCAGGTTCAATGTTCATAGCAACTTCAAGGAACTCTTTATCCAAGAAGGGAACACGAGCTTCAAGACCCCAAGCCATAGTGGATTTGTTGGCACGAAGACAATCGGATGTATGCAAGTTCTTGACACGTTGGACACATTCAGAATGGAATGAGGCCTTATCAGGTGCTTGATGGAAATAAAGGTAGCCACCAAAGACTTCATCGGATCCTTCACCAGATAATACCATCTTGACACCCATGGCTTTAATCTTACGAGATAAAAGGTACATTGGTGTAGAGGCACGGATGGTAGTGACATCGTATGTTTCAAGATGATAAATAACATCACTGACTGCATCAAGTGCTTCTTGAATAGTGAAAGTGTATTCATGATGAATTGTGTTGAGGTATTTTGCAACTTCTCTAGCAGCAATTAAATCTGGAGATCCAGGAAGACCAACAGAGAAAGAATGAACACCAGGCCAGTTCTTGGGACCACCTATTAAATTATGACAGTATAAAGGTCAGTATATATTTCTCTCTCTCTCTCTCTCTCATTTTATATGCATATTGTGCTTACTCTCATCAAAGTTATCGTCATCATTTAATTGACCTTGAGCAATTTTTTCAGCTTCTCTTGCAGCAATAGCAGCAATTAAAGAAGAATCCAAACCACCAGATAATAAGACACCATAAGGAACTTCAGCCATTAATCTCTTACGAACGGCTTTTTCAAGAGATTCACGAAGGAGCTTATAATCAACAGGGTTGCTAGGTACCTTGTTTTCATCCCACCAAGTAGGGTTAAACCAACGGGTGGTCTCACCTGTCTCAGAATCATAAACATGACCAGGAGGGAAAGCCAAGATCTTGTCACATTCTTCGTTTAATGCCTTGAGTTCAGAAGCGAAATAAACTGTACCTGGCATCTTACTGTTCCAACCGTAATAAAGAGTTGTAATACCAATAGGATCACGAGCAGCAATTACTCGGTTACGCTTTACATCTAATAAAACAAATGAGAACATACCGTCTAAATGGTTGACGAGTTGTGTATCCATTTCATCGTACTACAGAAAAAAAAAAAAAAAGGTATGAGTTTTAAGTTGTTGTTGAGTTTTCTTTTTTCTTTTTACCATGTGCATAATGACTTCACAATCAGAAGTGGTCTTGAAAGTATGAGGTTTCTTTAACTGGTTTCTTAAGTGCTTATGGTTATAAATTTCACCATTGACACAAAGGACAAGGTTGTTGTCTTCACTGACAAGAGGCTGTGCACCGGATTCTAAAAACTTTTTTTTTTAGTATGGAGGGCTTTCTGACATTTTTTTTATATAAATAACTTTACCAACACCAACAATAGCTAAACGCTCATGACAGAAAATGTTGTTCTTGGAAACGAAACAACCAGACCAATCGGGACCACGATGTCTAATCCTTTAAGGGCGAAAAAAAAAAAAAAGTGTGTTAATTATTTATTTATTTTTTTCAAGACACGCATATATACTTACTTCTTGGAAAGATAGAGAGCACGTTGACGATAGGCGTCAACATCACCTTGGTAGTTAGTGACTGCAAAGATACCACACATAATATAAAATGAAAAAAAAAAAAAGTATACAAAGAAGAAAAAGAGAAAAAAGAAAAAAAATAAAATAAACAAGTAGTTTTTTAAGACATTTTTTTTTTTTTTTCTTTCTGAGACTTCTACATATTAGTGATGAGTGTCAAAAAAGGTACTTAAACTTAATCCAGTAATTCAATTTTTTTTCGTTTTTCTATTGTTTCAGTTTAGATTAAACTGATCTTCCCTTTTGATTTTTTATTTTACTATCTCTCTCTTTTTGATTCTGTTTCTAATATGTCAAAAGGAGAAAAGGGGGAAATTGGCCATCATGACTCACTGACATGACTGCGAAAAAATAAAAAGATGAGTAACCTTTTGGTTATGCCTTTTATAAAAACGGAAATCTTATGCTTTACCCACCCGATAAAATTGCTTTGAAAATACGGGGAAAGAAGGGTGGTTTAACTCCGCTTAGTATCTAATCAATAAAAGCAGCTACCAATCCTCTTTTATATTATCAGTGTAAAAATAAAAACAAACAAATAATTTTCTCTTATCTTTTATTACGTTTCTAGCCCAAGTTTATATTATTATACACTGACAAATATTTTTGATTACATACAAAAAAAAAAAAAAAAAGGCTATTTAAGACATATTTTTTAGTGTGACCGATCAAAAACATATAAATTTAATATGCGTTCACCAAAAAGAAAGATTTTAGATGCTTTTTCTTGCTGAAAATCACGAAAAAAGTCAACTTGAAATTAAAAAAAAAGGCGAACAAGTCTTTTTTTTTTTTATATCATGTAAATTTGAGATCAGGTATTTGCACTGTAATGAAGAATATACAATGGAGACTTTTAAAGCCTTCGTATATGTCTAGAATACTGAAGGAAGAATTTTTAAAACATGCAAAAAAGGCTTCTTATTTATATAAACTTCAAGGTCCCGTGATATCAATAAAAATGATTCTGGGATTTTTTGAATGTGGATGAGTAAAGGTCACTTGTTTTATAGGCGATATTGCCATATCTTCATAAGATGAGTCAATCAAAACTTCTTTTACATATGGGCAGTTTTTTCTCAATCAACAACTCATCAAAGCAAGTTAATTGCTTTTGCCAGAAAAGACATATCCAACAGGCCAGTTTGCACTCTAGTCTCTTGGTCTTTTCTGCATTATGATTCTTCTATTATATTGTAAAATACCTTTTGAAGGAATGGTGTATAAATCAATTCTTAAAAGTCTTCCTGAACAGGACAATATTTTTCCTGAATCTAATAATATTATGAAATGGAGGGACTCTTTGTCGTTTTCTCTTTCTGAAGCTTATTTTTCTTAAAAAAAGATTTGTTTATTGATTGATTGCTCAAGAATTCCAATAATAATTTACTAAAAAATGAGAAAGATATCTATTGAAATTAAGTTTTTTTATATTAAAGAGAATCGGTTAAATGTCCCTCAATGTCTATATAAAACTCTATGATATCTTTGTCATCTCTGTTGACATTTAAAATAAAAGAAATAATTTTGGATCTAAAATTATGTAATATGTCAATAATAGCCTAAGATGTTCTATGATTCTGTCATCCTGTCGTCTTATTGATAATGATCTTGATGTTGTGCAATATGAGAGATTCTAAGCTAAAAATAATATCATGTTTGGTATAATCTAATAAATTAAAATAAATTGTTGTTTGAGAAAACGAGTAAAATAAAAGGAAGATAGACTAAAAAAAAAAAAAGGTAACGGTTCTGAAGGTGAAAAAAAAATAAATAAAGGGAACTGAGAACAATAAACTAAAAGTATTCATGCTAGTGAGTTCAAAAGATGGTTTTATATTTACAATTGGAGATTAATTCTACTATTTGATACAAAAACTGAAAAGTGAGGGAAGCAAATTTTTGCAAAAAGATATCGTCACCAGCAGGGTTTGAACCTGCGCACGTAAACGTATGTGATTTCAAGTCACACTCCTTAACCACTCGGACATAGTGACAATTCATGTTAGTTCAAATTTTTAATAATATTTAATTTAAAAAAATTATTGAAAATCACGTGATATACACGTGATTTATAATATTTTAAACAAAATTAAAGGAGGCATAGAAAAAAACTAACACGTATATTGGTGCTATAGGTCGGTTTACAAGCAGAAAATTTGGATGAAATAGGAGTAGTTTGTACATAAATAAAAAAAAAAATAGAGCTGACGTTGGGATCAATTACTAAAACGAATTATGTACGAATTAATTAAAAACCAAAACAGGAGTTCTATCGTACTATTTTTTTTTTAATAATAATGTTTTTTTCAGTAACTATACATTTTAATTTATATATATGTAGATTTGATAGACAAAAAGCCAAAATTTCTTGTTTTCTATGACTGATTATTATTAGTATTTATATTTTGCAGTTAACCGTTGTTTATATTTAACTGATCCAATAGTTAACTTCTGCAAGAATTCAAACAATCTAACATTACATGCTATAAAAAATTAGAGCTGCTAACGCTGATATTTAAAGATATCTGTAGCATGTAAAACATAAATGAGGCCATCTGGTATTATACACAAGTTCCACATTAAATACTTAATTTATGTATTATATAGAACTGCTATTTCTATAATAGTGCCACATTCTTAAATGGAATAATTCCTTTATATGACCAAGTGTCGTCTATTCAAAGACTCCGTCTTTATACAAACAAAAAATTTATGCAATAAAGCCAACGTCAAAAAACCTTTATTTATAATTTTTTTTTTTTATCTTGTTTTAATCGGTAAATATAAAAAAGTATTTTTGTACTTTCAACCCTTATCTAATGCTATACATGAAAAGCTACAAATAATGAAAGGGCGAGTACATTCGAAAATCCCAGAATTGCCTTTGGAGGTCCTAATGCTTACATTCGGCTTTTTAGAAACAGAAGATCTAGTACAATGTCAACTCACAAACAAGGAATGGTATGAAGCTTCGGTTGAGCTATTGTATTCTAAAGTATTTGTCTATCACAGACTAGCATTGGAAAAATATGTTCGTACAATATCAAGCTCTGCACGGTTGGGTAGTCACCTCAAGTCACTCTATACTGAATATGTGTTCTTAACGTTCGGCATGACTAATGAAAAATTGAATGACCATGAGTTGTTGGAAGTCATCATACGGCAGTGTCCAAATATATTAGAGTTAAGCCATTGGAAAGAAGACGTATCTTGCTGGGAACAAATTACGCAGGCAGTTATTCAAGGTCGATTATCGCATTTACAACGTTTACCAAGTCCTACAAGTAAGACTTTGGAACATTACCTATGTGTTGCACTACTCCTTAAGAAAACTTTAGCTTGGTTAGCAGCAGTAGACGATTTTTTTGATTATGGAAGTGATTTGAAGTATTCAAAATTCTATCAAAAATTACTAGATCAAGTCAAAGAATTTAAAAACATGAAATGTTTTGATTTGGTCTACGAGTCTAACAAACTATTAAGTGATTTTGATACGCTGATAGAGGACTGTCCGAACCTCGAAAGATTGTCGCTTACTTTTTGCCCTTCAAAAGAAGAAAGAAGGATTTTATCAGAGCCTAAAAAAGCGATAGTGATTCCACGTCCTGATATTTGTGAACTTCGGTGTGAATGGTGGATAATCGAAAGCGAAAATCAGATCAGATATCTTATGCAAAAGTTTCCTAAGCTCCGATGGTTGTATGTGATGTTTGGTGAATTTGGAAGAAGAACGGGAGTGACAAGGTGTCCTTTGAATGTACTGCTAGAATTTTTACATTACGTAATAGCTATACCAAAGTTTTTTGTAGAGGTAGAAGTAAGACGACACGATTTAGCTAATATTTGGAACAACCTTATCGATGCGGATGATAGATTTAAGGATGTAGCCATTGATTACTTTACAAATTTTCAATCTCGAGACATCAATAATTTAAAGCTAACTACAAAGTTATCCACTATTCATTTTGCATTGAATATACGAGATATTGAGTCACCACAGATCATGTTTTTTTCCGAAGTAGGAAGTAGAATTCGCTCGCTCAGGATAGAAAATCTTTCTTGGTTACATAGTTCTTCTGCAGTTCACCGTAAACTTTCCAAAAGGTTAGACTGGATTTTCCATATATTACAGCTATGTCCGTCAGTACAAGAACTTTCAATGTATGGAAATATTTACAAAATTCCAGCAACAAACGATGGTGTGCCTCAGCATACAGAAGTAAAAAAAGTGACAGTTTTTAATGTAAATCTACCTACAAAATCCGTTGCTTTTCTCGAATATTTATCTTTCAAACTTCCTAATATGAATCAACTTTATCTTACGTGTGATTCTGATCGAAATGAGTTCCCTAAACCTGTGAAAATTAATATGCCCAACACGTCGCTTGATGTATTGACTTGGAGAGATGTACCATCTAATTATTTGATTGAATCCGAATTGGAAGTGTATATCAAGTTGAAAACAACAAGCACTGGAATAAAGTTTTATTTGGGTAATAAAGCATGCTTATCCGAAATCGATCAACAGCAATATGAACGAAGAACGTTTCAAATTGGCGAAGAAGAAAATAATAATAATGAGGAAGAAAACGATAATGATGATGATGACGATAATTTTAGCCTTGGTCACGTTGGGTTTGAGTGGGGTTACTGTAGTAGGTTTTGCATGGATATAACATGTAAAAGTCTAAAAGAACTTGTAATAATTGAAGGGAGGTCCTCTCAATCTCCTGAGGTAAAATGGGTTTTTTAGCTTGTTGCTGCTACCTTTTTTTTTTATACATGAATTCATATAAATAAAATATAATTTACTTGTTAACAAAATGAACTTTCTACTGTAAAAGATTGCATGAAAAGACCCCGTTCTCCCGATTTTTTTTTTCAATGCGCGAAAACGTTTTTTTTTAATGTAAAAAAAAGGTATTACGTCTTTTCTTCTAAACAAAATATAATGGAAGAATTCCCTGCTGGATATTTTTACATTAAATCTCGTAACTCTGGAAAAGTTATTGACGGTAACTTGTTATTCTAATTTGAAAATGAGATTGTTTTCATTAATATAGTTGTCCCTTTTTTTTTTTTTTTTTTGTTAGTGGATGGAGCGTCAACAAAGGTAGATTAAAGAAAAATTTACATGTATATATATAAAGTTCATATAAACACATAAAAAAAAAAAAAAGAAAGATGGCAAGATAATTATATGGACACCAAAACATAATGAAGATAGAGATAATCAACTCTGGTATTATCAGGTACAAATCGAGATTATATTTGTGTATAATACCAGGTCAATTCAACAATTTGTGTATTTAGGATGGTTACATCATAAACAAGTGCTCCGAATTGGTATTAGATGTTCGAGGAGGACCTTTAGTAGATGAAGCATGGATATGTCAATACGATCGTAAAGTGATTGGCGATGCACAAAACCAGCGATGGGGATATCAAAGAGGATACGTCTTTGTACTTTCTGACCCGCACATGGTTTTGGATATACGTGGTAATTCTACTTTAGATGGTGCTAGAGTTATTTTATTTCATAAAAAGTTTGGATATGATAATGCTGCTAATCAGCTGTGGGATTTAATACCTGCTGGCCATGTGAGAGCAGAACGAGAGGTTTTATTTGAAGCTGATTTTTAATAAAATAAAGTGGTGATGATATTTGATTTATACGAGAGAGATGCGTGCTTTATTACTGTGGATTTCCGTTAATCACTCGATTCACCTAGGATCAAAAAAAAATAAAATAGTGTCTATGGGATCTTATTAAACAAATAGTCATATGTAACCATCAAAAGCTATATTATCTTTGCTCGTGATACCTATTGTAGTTTGTTTCGAATAATTGCCAGAAAATCCACTCAAGAAAAATTTATAATCTAAGGCATATTACTAACCCATTCTTAATAATCATGTAAATTTATTCAATCGTGACCTTCTTTTTTCAAAAAAACTAAATAAAAAAAAAAAAAAAAAAAAAAAAAAAATTCGAAACTTGTACACTTTGTTCAGAACAATAAAAGACATGTCTACTCCCGAGAAGCCAAACGATAAGGTAAGCCTAATAGGTAACATTTTTTTTTTTTTTTTTTAAAAAAAAAGGTTCGTAACAATTAAAAACTTACTTTATTTCACTAGTTTGAAGAAGAAATTGATAACCTCGTTGAAGAAGAATATGTGCAAGAAGGTGATGTTCTTGAAGAAGAAATTCCTGACTTAGATCAAGGTGAACCTATGGACGATGACGAAGACGAGGAAGATAACATGGAAGGTAAACTTTTGCGAAAAAATAATAATAATAAAACAGACCAACTTATTCTCTGCTTTTTTTTTTTTTTTTTTTTTAAAAAAAAGAATCTGCTGAAGGCTTTGAAATGAGACAGAATCCCGAAGACGAAAACACTATGGAACTTGCAGACGATTCCGTACAAGGTTTCTTTGATCACCGTGAACCTGTATATGCTATTGCTATGCATCCTACCAGTAACGGCATTATTTGTAGTGGTGGTGGTGACGACAAGAGTTATCTCTGGCGTTGTGATACCGGTGAAATGATGAAGGTACTTGACGGTCATACTGATTCCGTTACTGCAGTTGCTTTCAGTTGTGACGGTAAGTACATTGCCTCTGCTGCTATGGATGGTAAAGTACGTGTCTGGAATGCTGAGACGGGTGATTTTTGTGTCTCGGTCGATGGTCCTGATGAGGTTGTCTGGATCAACTGGCATCCTAAGGGTAACATTTTATTAGCTGGTGCGAATGATTCTACCATTTGGATGTGGGCAAGTAAGTTTATTATGATACAGTTATTTTTTTTTTAAAAAAAAAGGATGTTAATTATATATATATAAAAAAAAAAGTGCCTTCTGGTAAATTCATGAATATTTTCAACGGTCATGCTGGACCTGTTACTGCTGGTTGCTTCACAAGAGATGGTAAGAGAATTGTTTCTACTTCTGAAGATTCTTCTTTTATTATTTGGGATCCCAAG